CAGATAGCAAGTATTCAAAATGGGGGGCCACCAAAAAGGTTTATGAAGGCATGCAATTTATTTTCAGTAATTTTCCCAATGATTTCTAAAACTTAGCAAAACAAGAAAATAATGAAACCATTCAAATCAGTATTTTCCTATCTTGCACAATTTCATTTACCAAAGACATGGTTTTCTTCTGCAATTAATATTAAATATGCAGCCTACTATATCTGGGGTAAAAGGAAGAACAGCAGAAATAAAGAAATGTAGAAATAATTTTTATAACAAGATAGAACAATTCCATTCTGATTTACTGCTCCTTGGTCAATAGAAAGCACAGTTATTTAGCAAATGAGTACTTCCATATTACTAGTCTGATCACAAATTCAGAAAGTCCTTCCAAAGAAGTTAGGTTAACAACACAGTACATGCTACCTTAATTGGCCAATAGGGTATGTACAAGCCATCTTAAGTGTAAGGAAAAAACCCAACTCCCCAAAAATCAGCTCTGAGGTGCTTTTAAATTAATTTTAAACAGTAAAAAGCGGGGGTGGGAAAAAACCCTCTTATTTGTGGTGTCGTTCTGTTAATTGCAATAATATGCTTTCAGACAGACTGCAGTCTCAAGGTGGTTTTATGTGATTTTATGATTTCTCCCCTTTATAAACTGAGTAATAAGCAGCACCTGTGGATAGAAGACTGCTTATTCTTCTGATGGAAACTGTAACCCACTTCACACTATAGGGAAAAGGTTAATTCTGTTCAACAACATGCTGTGTCCTTCGGTATCTGATTTTATGTACCATTCCATGGATAACTGGTTCATTTATTTTTCTTCTAGTGCAGCTTTTGAAACTGAACATTTTGATGCTTTCCCTAGAAGCAGATAGCATCAGACCCCTTGTGTGAGGGCAAATACAGAACCACAATGAGAACATCCAGTTAATACAAAGAAAGTCCACAACAATGAGATACTCTCTGAAGCATGAAGATTATGAGATACAGAGAGACAGATGTTAGAAAGAAAAATATTCATCAAGCACAACTATCCACTTTAGAATTTTTGTACTATCCCCTGAAGTATTTAATATTGGTCAGGAATTCAAAGTAACCATACACATCTCACTGATTCACAATGCCAGAGAGAAAAGCTCTGGGACCATTCATTGCTCGCCAGTAACCCATAAAAACTTTGGTAAATAGCAAGGAATGCAACAGTCAAGAGCCTATTTTAGTTCAGGATTTAGTAACTCAGAAATAATCAGTTACATTCAAGATAACAAAACATTCAAGAGAACACATTCAATGCTTCAAATTGATAGGGGATATCAAGGAAGAGGAAACCAGTAGCATGAACCAATTCATCTATTTTTATGTCAACACAGCATAATCCTATGAAAGGAAAATGAATTAGTATTTTATATCACTCCCAGTACATTTCTCTTTGTTATGAAGTTTACTAACAATATCAAATGAATAGGAAACATAAATAATGCATGAATCTCTAAAATAAAATAGCATTATCACTTACTTAACAGAAACAATGTAAATTCAGCAAGAGAGGAAGGAAATTATTTTAAGTAAGTTCCCTTGATATGGATCCAAATATTCACATGAAATTAAATTATAGCATCGCTATTGTTCCCTAATAAACACTGGGAAATAGAGGTCATTATTTTACACTCCCTGGTGGCTTGTTGCTGAAGTCATTGGAAAGGCAGTGGGGATGAATCTGACTTTTTATCCTATTTACACTACTTGTAAAACCCAAGAGTCAGATCTGTTTGGTTGGGATTTTTTTAACACACCAACTGCATCATTAAATTAACAACACCATGAAACGACAGTTATCAAACATAAGGCTGTATATCATAAAAAGATGCCTTACGAGTTACTTTTTCCTTTATTTGCTTTTCAAGGGGAAATGCTTGGTGCATGACCTCTGTTTTTTCTAAGACTACTAGTCCATTTTCTAGCTTCAAGAAATAGAAGACAAGGATAAAACAGACTTCTAATAATCACCATATTATTGCTGTTGCAAATAATAATGGCTGCAAAGCTTTATTCAACAGAATATTTATGTGATACACAGTTTTATCTAACCTAGAACTTCAGCGTTTTCCCCAGTAATACTGTTCATCTTGCTTCATTAGCTTCTTCTAAAGAAAACAAAATTAGTTCCTTTCAGTTCTTTATGCAAGAAGGACAGAAAACTTGCTAAGCACCTCTCAAACTATTTCCTTGACCATTTAAAACACTTGATTTACACATCCAGTGGTCAAGCACTGCGACACTCTCTGCATTCATCAAAACAAAACAAAAAATGACTTATGAAGAATTTAATAGGCATCAGATGGTGATATGAAATAAGTTGGTGATATGAATACATACTTTCCATATTCAAATCTGATTCATGCACTTATATGCATACTCATAAATTAATAATATAAAATTCAAGGCAGGAAAACAAGATCATTAGCTGGTAAATAAAATTAACATCTGTTGTTCCATATTCCTGTACATCCAGGATTTGCTGATGCAATATTGTCTTTTACTGCCACACCTCAAGAATTATAAGTTGTAAATGGTATGATGAATTGTATCCATAAAGAGTCTCAACACTGACTAGCTGTTTTTCCTCCAAGCCTTCTACAAAACATTAAACAGAACAAGCTTTTATTTTTTTTTAACCTTTTGCACATTTTCTCTTGTTACACAGAAGTAAAGGAAATCAAATTTTTAAAGACCTGCATGCCCTGCCTCAAGGTTTCCAGTCAGCTGAGAACTTTTTTCTAAAATCACTAAACTGCAAATTGATTGGCTTTAAGTGCTTCCAGCAGAGGAATCAAAGTGTACACATAATGCTCCATACTTCCTCAGAAATAAGCAAAAAGTTTGAAGATTTCACAGTTAAATCACAACTTTGTCAGGCAGAAAACTCTTATTTCTAGCAATCTGTTCAGCACATAGCATGGTGCACTGATCCTCACTGATCCTGTATTGTATGATGGCATGCAGAAAACTGCAGTAAGAGAACTGGAGAATAAAAACCAAATTTGACAAAGGTGATACTTTTAATACTTAAATGTTAATAATAATTAAATAAATTCCACCAACATGCAGATCAAACTTTTTAAAAATAGAGAAATTCTAAGTTTGATGAATTTTCTTATTCAAATATCTACCATGATAACGGTGTCCTCGATGCTCTCAGCACGAGCATTCAGTTTAAAGAACAAACAGAATTTTTCAATTCTATTTCAAACTCAGTGAAAAGCCGGATGCAAATGATTTCCCATCAAGTGTAGCTTCTCTACACATGAATACTATTTGCCACTTTGTTTACACTGATTTGATGATTGCATTCTACTACACTTACAGCCATTTGCAAAATATTTTTCTGTGAGACTGAGATCCCACCCAAGTCTCCGACCCTGCATTGGGATCCAACAGCAGCTATACAATCCATGGATTCCCACTGAAGTCATACTGAAATAGAACAAAAAGTATCTTTCTATCCATCTGTTCTTTTTCACTAAATAAAATTAATGTTTTTTCCCCTTTCAGTCTAACAGCCTTCCTACAAGACTCAAAGTAAAATGTTACATAGAAAGATCAAATCATAAACCATCGAGAGGTCAGAAACGTCTAGAAGTGAAAAAGGGAGTGACTCTGAGGAAAAAAAAAAAAGAAAAAGAAAGAAAGATAAAATAAAGGGAAATTATGTATACATATTATGAAAGACTAACTAGTTTGAAAAATAAAACCTTCACCTATTCATTGCTTTTCCTGTTTCTAATAGTTAGCTCACAATGATCTTTAACCTAAACTGGGAAGCTATTAATTTGAAATATTGTTTAGCTAAGTAATAATAAGTGTTCTGGTAAGTGTCTTTTAAGGTGGTAAGTAGGGAACAGTCACCTCAGTCTCCCATCTACCCCAGAAAAAACATTTAGCACGAAGCAAAAACATTGCACTTTAACAGGTTTAGGTGATATCAACTATGCAACTGTACCATATAAATGTTTATGATTTTAATACTTTAAAATATTTATGTAAACAGAAATAGGAGGAGACTATTCTAATTCTATGGTTATTTACTCCTATGAACTCTATGTAAGCCTCTTTCTGGATTAATAAATTTGCTCCAATCTGAATTAGAAAATCCTTTTCCTCACCTCCTTAAGTATTCATAAGAGGAAGTAAAACCAGGACAGACGTAGTCATTGGATGGATTTGAGCTAGTTAAACTTTCACAATATTTAAAAATCCCCCTACTGAGGTTAATCCTTACCTCACTTCTTTAATAACGATTGACTTCCAAGGAAGAAAAAAACCTAGTTTCATTGCTTATGTGGAAATTTTTTTAAAATATTTGTACAAGAATACACTTAAAACTTCTTTAACAAAGCTACATCTGAATAGAAATATAAATTAAAGGATACTGTAGATTCATTAGTATGGAAACAAAGGGAATAAGAATACCATAACAAAGGACAAATCTCACAAGTCTGGTCTCTAATGTATTTTGCAAGAGTTTCTCAGGGGTGATGAAATTGGTTTCTCTTCTTACCACTTATTTATCATATTCTTAGATTACTAGTGTACATTCACTGGACAACACTGTAAAAGTATTTAAATATAAATACAGATCTACATTTCCACTATAAGCTCTTTGTTTACACTTAACTTTATCGTTGTGCCTTGTGACTAATAAGAAAAGATAGGGGAACTAAAAGATACAGCAGCAATCAATTTTGGGGGGGTGAGCAGGGCAGGAGGAAATTGCGAGAAAACAGTTTTTAAATTGATGCAAAAGTACTTGTTTGAACAGTCCATCAAAAATTGCTGCAGTCTGTACTAGCATTTTTCTGCCTTTGCAGAATTTAAAGTGATTCTTATCAAATACTTACACATATAAAAAAAATTAAAATAGCATTTCAGGAGGAATAGGAAAAAAGTATACTATTTTATACAAAATGAGGCGCAATGCAATGTATTATTGCCAGCAAACTTACCAGTCGTCTCCTCTCCTCTTCAACAGCAATCAGGAGCCGAGCAAACTCTTTCAGTGACTGGGCTGAAAACAAAGAAAAATAACATCGTGGTCAAAATTACATTTTAGGACCAGAGGAGCCCATTATCTCGATTGAAGCTGTAGTGATAAGATACTGTTCTTATATACTACTTCAATGAAATCAGTAGTCATTAAATGCACAGACTGAAGTAAGCAGCAGGTCAAGAGTAGGTAAAAAAAAACAAAGGAAAAGAACTTGAGTCTTAAGTGTCATGTGTATTTACAAATAAATTTTTTAATGGAATATGGCAAACTCATTTTCCTGAAATACGCAAAGATCAGGCTCAAAACAAAGAATTTTACAATCAGCCACAAGATTTACTTTAGCACACTAGAAGCAGAAAGAAACTGCAAAGGGAAAATATTGTTGAAGTACAGCAACGAACATTTGCTAGACCTACGAAAAAAATTAAGATAAAAATTTAAAAGTTAAATTTTAGAAGAAATGCATTACTTATGCTAACTGTTTAGATTTCACAGCTCTTTGGCTCTTTGGCTTTATGTTTTACAAGGACAATCTCTCAGGTGACGAGAACAGATGACATTTATAGGCAAGCTTTGAATTCTGTTACAACTGTGAGAGAGTCTTCGCTTAAAACTGCCTTCAAATATAAGTCAAAGGGCTTAGTGAATGTCAACAGAAATATAATAAAAGTCTTAACCCATAAAAGAGGGCAAGAAAGGGGAAAACGTTCGAAAACCTCTTAAGGCTTCATTCTCATGTAAGCAAGCAGTGCAAATCTCTCTAGAAAAATCTGTCTTTCAGTTCATATTACTTTCTCAAGGGCATGTGGGTTATTCAGAATTCAGCATCACAGTTCCACAGACAAAAATGCCAGAGAAGAATCATGTGAGAGAGATAAGTAGCTCTTTTGACTTTCTCCTGATGTGTCTAGCAGAAATTGCTGCCAATGACAGGATGCTAAATTTCACGGTTTAAAGCTCTGATCTCAGAATATATAAGTCCTATAGCTTCTCACAACAAACTTGAGGCAATCTAAAACATCTTTTAAAGAGGAAAAAAATATGGAAACAAAACTTGCAGAATTTCTCAAAAGAACAGGCTTGAAAAAGTCTTCATAGTTAACCAACATAGACTGATGAGGGTACGCTAACAGAACTCATGTCCTTTTAGCTATTTTTCCATCTTAAGTGTTTTTACAAAATGTGTCAGTCTCCAATAATATGGCATCATCCCCTCTCAAACTCCCTGAAAGATTTAAGGAAATAAGCACATTTTCTGGAGGATCTGCTGTGTTCCAATACCTTCTGAGAGGGAACTGGTATCTAGCTTGCCTTAAGTGCCTGGTCATCATTCATGAATTGCTGCTTAGTTTTTGTACCATACCCAAATAATTTTTATCCTTTGTCCCAACTGTACCTTGCAGAGGACACCCTTGCATTCTTCTTGCTCTTTTAACTTCTACAGCTGAAGAATACCTTGCTGTTTGTTCTCAGTTCTTCTACAAGACCTTATATAGTATACTTTTTGCAACTGTAATGATATACCTGCATATCTTGACCTCTAAGTCATTCTTTGCTGACAAATTCTTTTTTCCTTATTATTACTCACAAGCTCTGTGTTAAGTCCAAACACACCCAGTAAGTTAAATGTCCATCCAGTTGGGTCTTGAACCTTTTCCTTTAATATTTTTCTGTGAGAACACAAAGACCAGCAAATTTTGCCATGTTTTACTTAGAAGAAATTCTAAGCCTCCTGCATGAACTTCTGAACTCCTTGACTCAGGCTGAGTTAACTGAGCCCTTCAGTTACTGACTTTCAGTTACTTACTAGCTCAGCCTTAATCAGAGTAAAATTTTGATATCAAGAACTTCGTTTGCTATCCACTGAATTAATTCGTCTCTTAAGACTCAGCTCATAATATCCTATCTGTCAAAACCGGGTAAAGAAATAGATGATGAACTGACTGGTTAAGTTAGCTGGTAAGAAATCTGTTGAATGTTATGTTCAATAATATCTACGTGCCCATTATGAAATCCTAAAAACGAAATAAACAATGAGCCAAACACACATGGCCAAACTATTTCTTATTTTCACACTGACAGCCCCCAAAATTTAACAAGAAACCATCCTTGCCTGTAGAAAACAGGACAGAGTAAGTTGTTCATCCCTTCCACAGGTGTCAGAGTGATTCTTTACCCACCATTAAAAAATAATAATCTTTTCAAATGAACTAGATAAACATATTGTTTGAATTTTCTTACCTATTCAGGGAACTAGGATGCACTCTAGAAAAACAGATAACATTATAGTAAAGCCAGCAAGAGAAATCGTTTCCAGATTATTTCAGTGAAATAACTGGTCATTTTTAACCGCAAGATAATGTGTTACTGAAGTCACACGGTAAAACTCCATTCCCCCTCCTTCTTTTCACTTTCTTACTGTGGAGACAGTCACAATGACAGATCTATTTCAAAGAGAAATGATCATACCAAGCACTGTATCTCTGTGAAGCAGCAGATCCAGAACCTACTGAAATTTAAGTTTTCCCTATCTGTATGAAGCCTTATGGCACCCTTCACTTAGGTTTCTGGTCACATCATTAAAACCATCCTTAATATAACAAAGGCTCATGAATTTTTTTTTCTTCATCATCTGCAATAAGGAAGTTAACACTTTACACCTTTCTGCAGCCAAGCACAAATACTGCCAGTTCCTAGCCCTAAAGTAGGGGCAGGACTTTATCTAATTCAAATAGAAAGTGTGGGGGACAGGTAGGTAAAAGCAATACAGTTGTGAAGAAAAAAAATCCTCTCTGGTCAGGCAATATTCAGCATTTTAGGAGTAAAAAGATAGTAAAGGAAGAACAGCAGGAAGCAGAAACTGGGCAGAAGAATGACTAGAAACTGTGAGGATGAAGGAAAAAAAAAACCCAAACAACCCAGTTAAGAGAAACTTTTGATTCATCCTCCTAATTTCAAGGCAGAACCAGAGGGGATTTTAGTTTCAAAGTCGAAACTTTTGCTTAGGATTTAAATAAAACCAGGACAGAGAAAGAACTACAAAAATATGTTCTGTAAGTGTGCAAAGCAAGATTTTCCTCAATGTTTAATACTAATATAAAGGTACTACAATGTCACCCATACAGTGCCTCAGTCTTCATCTTCTCTTCCTTGCTGCCTCACCTTTGGGGGGATTATAAAGGTCAAAGTCTCACTAAGAGCACAGAACCTACACTCTTCAGTAGCCTACACTCTTCAGTAGCACTACAACAAACCATTCCCCTAATCCTAGAGACACTCTCATTGCGGAGACACCTTCACATCAATACTGACTACGCTTCCACTGCCCAACACCCACGTCCACCCTTTTTGTGCCAGTCAATGCCCACGAAGCCACGGAGCATCCTTTCCCAGCTCAGAAGGTGCACAGTGAGACCAAGAGCATTGTGTAACTCAGACTGTAATGAAGGATGCATGCCCAGTATGCAGTCAGAGATCAGCAACATGGCATCTCTGGTGACCCCACTGGTTCTTCTGCCCCAGCAATGGCACCACGTAACATCAAAAAATGCTTTACCACTGCCAGCTCTCCTACAATACCAACGAGTATTACAGTACTACTGAATCTTTCATGTTATTAAACCCTTCTTCCCATACAACCCCCACTCAGTCTGACCTCATTAAAAACCAAGATCTGTCCCCAGAGAACTTCATCTGTGCTGGAAGCTGCAGCGGAAGGTGGTAAAGGGAAGGCAAGACAGCCCTTGATCCTTTTTTTCCCAGCATACGCTTCACCCTTCGTCCTCCCCTCTTTTCCCACAGTCCCCCTCTGGCTGCAAACAGGTCACAGCTTTGGCTCACTGGGCCTGGGCCGGGCAGATGGAGGAATATGAAGCAGAGAGCTCACTGTGGGGCATCAGGCTGCCCCGGGACAGCTCGCACACAGGGCCGCCCGACAGCCCTGGAGAGCTGGGCAAAGGCATCATGCCCCTCCACAACAGGGCCGCTCCCCCCCGCCCCTCAGGATTTCAGCACGAACTCAAGGGACAGGGTACACGCATTCTGGATTCCCAGCTCTCAACTGGAACCAAACAAATATTTCGTCAATAATAATCTGAGGGAGTTTTGTGTAGTTAAAAAACAGATTTAAAGTCGGAACCATTTGTGTCAGATGTGGCCCACTGCTGTCTCTCAGAAAGCCTGGGCATTCCATGCAGGCTTCGCCATCTTTTCTTACTAAGGCTGCAAATTTTTTTTTTCTGCCCTTCTTTTTAATCAGAATAGACACAGAAGAATTAAAGTGAACTTTGTAAATACAAAGGCGGGAGGGGAGGGGAGGAAGAGTCAAGCATTTTAGAAAAGGAAATGTCATGGGAATGTGCTGATAAGAAACAAATTCTGAAAACATACCAATAATATAAAGTGCAATATGTAACCTGACATATTAAATAAAAAGGTATTTTTAATTATTTTCAAAAAGGATTATTGTTGTTGGTGGGCTATTTTAAGTAAAACAAAGTGCTGCCTTAATACTTTACTCTAAGTCATTAGAAGACACTAGCTTACAAAATCCAAATAGTTTTATAGTCTGCTTTTTATTTAAGGGCTATTCAAAGGCTTGTAAGATACACTTGGCATCATAATGGAAATTATGCCTGTGAAAAGCAACGCCCAACAAGTAAAAACAATTGTATATGTATGCAGCTGTACACTTGTGCTCTCATTCATCACCAGCAAAACAGGTCACCAGCTGTTTTCTCTAGAGTGCTCCAAATCGAACAATAATTTGCTGCAAAATTTCCCTTGTTCAGGAGAAATAGCTCCCATTACTTTATTTAAAAAAACCCAACACCCTCATTAATTTTAAATGAAAAAATCTTTGAATTAATTTGGTTCATAAGGAAGCAAACTAACAGTACTGACAGCTTAAACCTTAATGGTGTAGATCAACGCTGTCTTTTTTTTCCAAAAGATGCATGTGTTTCATTTGGTTTTTCATCCCTATAATCTCAAACACACAGTACAGCTCCACAAACAAC